CATTGTAGTCGTGATCGCATATATGGTGCGTTATTGTTGCATTCAACGCCGTTTGCAAAGTGCATCTTCGGTGTATCGTAATATTAAGTACATGCATTTGAACTTCGAGGTCCTGGTGCATCGTAATAGTATATACATACGTTTGCATCGCGAGGTTCTGGTGCTCCATCACCAAACGTATTCCGAATGTACGTCGATTTTGTATTTTTCGATATCTGAGATCGTCTGCACATACGAGCGTGTGTGGGCCATCGGCCCAACACAAGGGTTGAGATGTGTCGCCTAGTTGCGGTTGCAGTTGCGCCCGCGGGCGGGTTGAAATGTGTCGTTTAGTCGTGGTTGCGATTGCGGTTGCGCCCGCGGGCGGGTTGAAATGTGTCGCCTAGTTGCGGTTGTTGATGCGGTTGCGCCCGCGAACGGGTTCAAATGTGTCGCTTAGGTGCGGTTGCGGTTACGCCCGTGGGCGGGTTGCAATGTGTCGCCTAGTTACGTTTGCGGTTGCGTCCGGCGGTTTGAAATGTGTTGTCAAAAGTGCATTTCCAGTTCAGTCAGTTCAGTTCAGTTTAGTCTGGAGGGCACGGAATTTCACCGGGCCCCGCCAGGAAAAATGCATAGCAGTTTTGTTCGGAGGTTCGCGCGGATTTCTTGGATCGGCGCTGGACCGCCCTCCCTGGCACGCAGAGCGCGCCAGGGTGGCGCTGGAGGCGCCGCCAGGGGGTATTAGCGCTGATGTAAAGAATCCCCGCGGACCTCCGAAAGTTTATGTTGATTCAGATTCGTCTTCTTCAACTGACGGGTCCTCTCGTCTTCAAGGGGCTTGAGGAGTAATCTCCTCTCCGAGTCATTTCGGGCGTTCTCCCAACCCGAAATCTGGGATTGGGAAAATTGCATGATCCTCTCTGGGGCAGGGATCCTTGATGCCTCAAGATTGTTTCGTTGTTGCCTAACATGTCTCAGATCCACGGGTGGGATTCAGCGTTTCTTATTTGACCGCGAATGTTCAAACCTTTCATGTCATGGTCAGAATACACTTTTCTGTAGCGGGCTCAACCAGTGCGTCTTCTTGACCAGTAAGTATGACCACGCAGACCGCACGCGGTGACCGAATGAACGGCACTGATGGGGGAGGACGGGCAGAGGAGATCATCAGAGGGAGTGTTGAGAGTCTTCTCTTGAAAACTCCATGCTACTTTGTTTGCGCTGTTCAGTGCAATGAAAGATCGCCGAGGCAAGGGCAAGGAACGATACGATGCAGCAGAGTAAAGTGCAAGGAAGCACGCTGCGGGCTGGAAGCTGTGCGTTGCGAACTGTATCAGCACTGCGACTAGTACAACAACTACTACTACTACTACTACTACTACTACGGTTAGTACTACTACTACCACTACTACTGTTAGTATTCCTATGAATAATGCTACTTCGACGACTACTACTACAACGACGGCGACTGCTGCTACTGCTACTACTACTACTAGTACTACTGCTACTGCTACTGCTACTGCTACTGCTACGACTCCTGTTATTCTTACTATTAGTATTTCTATCATTCGTATTACTACTACTACTACTACTAATACTACTACTATTATTCTTATTACTACTACTACTACTACTGCTACTACTATTACTACTAATTCTACTACTACTACTACTACTACTACTACTACTACTACTACTAGTACTACTACTACTACTACCACCACCACTATTGTTACTCCTACTACCAATACTACTACTACTACGACTACTATGCTGCTACTACTACTACTACGACTACTACTACTACTACTATTACTACTACTACTCCTACTACTACTACTACTACTACTACTACTACTACGACTACGACTACGACTACTACTACTATTACGACGACTATTACTACTACTACTACTACTACTACTACTACGACTACGGCTACGACCACGACTACTACTACTACTATCACAGCGACGTCGACTATTTCAAGTAAAAGTACGGCTACTACGACGACTACTACTATTATTACTACGACTACTACTAATACCATCATTTCCACGGCTAGTAGTATTATTATTACTACTACTACTATTATTATTACTATTACTACTACTACGACTACGGCTACGGGTACGGCTACGACTGCGACTACGACTACTATTAGTACAACCGCCAGATCCGAGGCCAAATGCCCGCTCTCGATACTTTAGAACTACCATATCTTATTTATCAGCATTCAGAGGCACTGCGCCTTTTGGAGGCAGCGCACCTTGTGCTCTCATCTGCCCGTTCCTCTGAATGTGTTGTTTGCCAGTTCCCTGGTCATGCTGCGAGCGGGCTTCGCTCCAGCTCGAGAAAGTGCATTTCTCCATGATCGTGCTCGTGTTCTGGCCGCATGTTAAATCAACGCGGACGCACCGCGTGGTGAGATGAAAATGCGGGTGCTGGCAGAATGCTAAAGTGCATGTGGGCTTCATTTAGTTTCAACAGATGCGCGCTGACAGAAAACTTGGAATCTGTGCTATGGCGGCTATGGCGGACCTCTGGTTGATGATGCTTTTGGTGGAATTCCTTGCAGCCCTTATGTGGGTTGGCATGTTCTCGGCGCGTGCGCGCGTGGACATTGCTTTTCGTTTGAGTTGTGCAGGGGATGATACATCCATGCGTCGAACGAGTCGTTGCGATGAACGAGTGTGCGAGTAGACTGTTATTCGGTAGATGGAAGGGGGACTCTTGGTTTGGCTGGGATGTGATGGGCTTACATGGGAAGTGCACAGCGAAGCAGGAACACGTGCCATTTGCAGTGTCCCAGGGGGTACCACGAAGTGTGTGTGGGTACCACGAAGTGTGTGTGGGGGGAGGGGGTGGTAGAGTCTGTTCGCTTCTTCAAGACAGGGAACACCTGCGCGGTGCAGTCTGTGTGGTGCAGGCTGCGCGGTACCAGCTGTGCGGCGCAAGCCCTGCAATGCAGGCGACGTGGCACAGAGCAGCGCGTGGTGCAATCGGTGCGTCCGCCCAGCGCGCGACGCCCCCACGAGGCGCCGACTGGCTCCTCTGGGCCCGTCCCGCGCTCTCTTTCGGCACCTCGGGCCCTTTCCGTCGCGCGTCGGCTACGTGCAGGAGTTATTGTCCTCACGAGAACCCAAATTATGTTTTTGTTATTTGTTTTTTTTTCTGTTTTATTTTTTGGGGCAAGCAAAAACAAACACAAACGGCCGGGGCCAGGCAGAGGAGCTCCGGCCGGCCCGCCCAGCGCACGGGGCGCCCACGGGCGGGCACGCGGCGACGCCTCGGCCGGCCCCCCCGGCGCACGCGGAGCCCACGGGCGGGGGCCAGGAGGGTGCCCGGGGGACGCGGCGTGCCCGGGGGGGAGCCAAGGGGTGCCCGCGGGTGCTGCGGAGGTAGGGTGCCGCGGACAAAGGAACACATCGATCTATATATATGTATACATATGCAGATATATGTATATATAAAAAATAATTCTATATATGCATATACATGTATATATGTATGTATACGTGTACATGTGCATGCACATATACATATGTGCTATATATATATGCATACATATAAATGTATATATATATATATATATGCATATGTGTGTATATCTATATGCATATATATATATATATACATATCCGTAAGGGCTTCGCCCCCTGCCGCCGGCCCCCTCTCTCGGAGAATGGGCCATGGAAGAGCTAAGTCATGAGGCCTTGGCGCTGTCGTGAAGCAGTATCGAAATTTCATGCGAAGCCGATTCGCAATCAGCAAAACCAACTGATCACAAGAGGGGTTACCACACCTGGCGATTGGTAAGACGTGTATGGTTTACGGGCGGGCTTGGTTACCACACCTTGCGATTAAAGGGCCGAGGGAGTTCTCGCAGTTTGGGTTACCACGCCTTGCGATGGATGTGCGTGAAGGGTGGCACCGAATTTCAGAAATGTGGCAAATCCCTTGTGTTTTTGGACCCTGACCCCGCGGATCTGCGTGAGGGGTGGCACCGAATTTCAGAAATGTGGCAAATCCCCTGTGTTTTTGGACCCTGACCCCGCGGATCTGCGTGAGGGGTGGCACCGAATTTCAGAAATGTGGCAAATCCCCTGTGTTTTTGGACCCTGACCCCGCGGATCTGCGTGAGGGGTGGCACCGAATTTCAGAAATGTGGCAAATCCCCTGTGTTTTTGGACCCTGACCCCGCGGATCTGCGTGAGGGGTGGCACCGAATTTCAGAAATGTGGCAAATCCCCTGTGTTTTTGGACCCTGACCCCGCGGATCTGCGTGAGGGGTGTCGATTTCGAGCCCCCCCAGCAATTCAGACAACGCGCCCAGGGGGTGCTAAAAAGCCGGTTTGGGCCTCCCCCCCCTCGCGCGGTCAATCAACTAGTAATAGTAATCAGCAAGAAGCAGAACTGCAACACTGGAAACTACAACCTACGACTGGTACAGGAAACTGCGAATCACGGGCCTACAGCCTGGTGGCCCCCACAAAGGAGAATATGTTTGTAATCCACCACTGGATCCGTGAGGCTGTCACAAGGCAGTGGATCGTCCGACGCTCCGCCTCAAAGGGGCCGTGGCCGGAGCTCTTGGCCCCGCCTTTCTGCGTCGGTCTGCGAGCCGGATCGATGTGTGAGGACCCCAGTGCCCGCGATGGGGCGACCACGCCCGGTGTGGAACAGCTGCACTGACAGGATCTCAGGGCATCTCCTCATATCCGGAGATTGATAGACCTCCTACCCTGCAACGTCGATTCAGGAATTGGCCGTTTTCGGTTCGCGAGAGGGCGTCGGTCGCGGCCGTCATCTTTGCGGGGCCAGGTCCGTCGGTTTCGGCCCCGGGCCCTCGTCACTAAGGGGAGGTCTACGAAAGGGAGGTTTGTCCACCGCCGACATATGGTTCTCGCCTTCGTCCTCCTCTGCCCGCGCTCCTCGGCCGCGCTCGCCGCCCTCGCCGCGTCGCCGCGCCCGCGTCGCCGCCTGCCGCGGGGGCCGCCCGCTCGCGGCGCGCCGCCGAGGGCGAAGCGGAGGCGCGAGGAGCAGGAGCGGCGGCAGCTCGAGCTCCAGCGGAAGCGGCAGGAGGAGACCCCGTCGGTCAGCATCGTTTCTTGGCATCGCTCGGACGTGAGCATCTCTCCCTCGGCGAGGACCATCGAGGAGCATCCTTGATCATTTCGCGACAAAACCACGCACGAAACCGAAAAAAACACAGGACATGGACGCCCGAGCGATGGCCAGGTTTGCATGGGGAGCAAAAAGTGGCATAAACATAAAAACTCTGAGGTCCGCGCGGATTTCTCGGATCGGCGCTGGGGCCCCCCGGCGGCGCCTCCGGCGCCGCTCCTGGCGCGTTCCGCGCGCCAGGGGTGGGGGTCCAGCACCGATCCGAGAAATCCGCGCGGACCTCCGAGTTTTTATGTTTATGCCACTTTTTGTTATCCTAGTTTGACCGATCCCCATCCCCGTACATCCACTCAGTCCCATCAGTCAGTCAGTCAATGCCTAGTCAGTCACTCTACCCCGTCAGTCAGCATCTCGATCAGTCACTCCTACCCCGTCAGTCAATATCTCAGTCAGTCAATCAGTCCCATCCACATCTCGAACCCCACCGTCCCACTACCTCAGTTGGGGATGTGCCCCTCGAAGCCCGAAGAGAGCAGCCCATATCCACCATCAGGGGGGTAAATCGGCCAGTGGGGCCCAGCCCACGCCGTTGGGGATGGGGGTCGGTTAAACGAAGCTCAGCCAGTGCGAGCTCAGGGGTGGCGGGGAGGAGGCGCAGATCTCAGACGCTACGATGTGTCGCTCCTGTTTGCGAACGTCCATTCTCTAGGCTGTTCCCTTCTCGGCCTCCAAGATGGGGTCCGAGTAGATGGGGTCGGAGGATCGCGCCACATCGCCGATGCATCGCCGATGCGGCTCGACGTAGGGCCCGATTTTCTCCACAACGATGGCGCCGAAGCATCGCCGACGTCGCCGATGCGTCGCCAATGCATCGGCAATGCGCTGCCGATGTATCGGCGATGCGGCGCGATCCTCTGATCCCATCTGCTCGGACCCCATCTACAATCTAGGAGGCCTCTAGGCACAGTTCTCAGACGCCAAGATGTGTCGATCCCGTTCCCCGAAGTCCATGCTCAGGCTACTTGTTTAATCCCCGGGAAAGGCCTCTCGAAGTTCCTGTTCATGGATTTGTTTCGGCGGCGGGCGAGGAGGGGAAGTGAGAAGGGGCGGGCATTCTGAGAAGGCTCAGAAGTCCCCCGGCCTTCTGAGAAGTTTTCCAGGCCTTCCCCGAAGACGCAGACAACCTCTCGGAAGGCGCGAGGGAGATCCTGACAAGTCCCGCCGCCCTCTGAGAGGGCCCTCTCATCCTCGTTTCCCCCCCCGCCCGCCGTCAATCGCTTTGGCTCCCGAGCAAGGGGGAGGAGGGGGAGGACGAGGAGGAGGAGGAGGTTGGAGGAGGGGGAGGAGGTTGGAGGAGGGGGAGGAGGGGGAGGAGGAGGAGGAGGTTGGAGGAGGGGGAGGAGGTTGGAGGAGGGGGAGGAGGTTGGAGGAGGGGGGAGCACAGGCCCCCGTGCCTCCCGTGGCTCCCCCGGGGCGCCGACCTGCGGCCGCCCTCCCGCAGGAGGAGAAGAGGCAGCGCGAGGCCGAGGAGCGCCGCCGGGAGCAGGCCAGGCGGCGGCAGAAGCAGGATCGGGGCGACGGAAATCTCGGCATCGCTCGGACGCGTGCATTTGTTCCTCGGCGACGGCCATCGAGGACTACGTCTGGGCCATCGAGCAGAAAAAAACGCACGAAACCGAAACATGCACGGGAAATGGATGTCCGAACACAGGCAAGAAATGGGCAGTGTGGAGTCAGGAACGGGCCCAATCGGTGTGTTGGCGAATCTGCGGGCCGTGTTCGTTCCGACTTCGGTTTGCGGCGGAGGCGGATTGAAGACAGAGCGAGGGAAAACGACAACAAGACGAGAACGAAAAACGCAGTTTAGGTTCAGACCTGTGTTGAGTCGGGCCTGCCCCTCTACAGGAGGAATATCCCCAAATCGTTTTCTTTTTCCCTACCTAGGCTCTGCCTAGAAGGGTTCTTACTCGTTGGCTTAAAGGGCCGGGCAGTGCTAACCGCCCCGGGCGGTTCCCCCGGTCCCCTGGGAGCCAAGCAAAAGCAACAGCAAAGGTAAAAGCAAACGCGCGGTTCCCCCAGTTGCGCTCCCTGGGTGCCAAGCAAAAGCAAAAGCAAAGGCAAAAGTGAAGGCAAAAGCGAAGACAAAGCAAACACATAGCATGGCATAGCATAGCATAGCATGGCGCAGCATAGCATAGCGCAGCATGGCATAGCATAGCATCGCCCAGCCTAGCCCAGCATATCATTGCGCAGCACATCATAGCATAGCATAGCATAGCACAGCACAGCATAGCATAGCATAGCATAGCGCAGCACAGCATCCATTATTGTTGCTGCTATATATATGTATATGTGTGTACTGATATGTGTGTGTGTGCGCACGTATCTTCCATGCATGTTGGTGTCGATGTAGGCGTCGGTCTAGATGTAGATGTAGGTGTCGATGTGTATGTAGTTGTGTATATATATAACTATGTAAAGAACTCCCCAGTGCCCCGCCCTCATCTCCGTGCCTGCTTGCTTTTGCCGCTGTCTCGGTGACTTGCTGCCTGCTTCTGCTGCTGCTTCACTTACGGCGGTTCTGGCGATACTACTACTACTACTACTACTACTACTACTACTACTACTACTACTACTACTACTACTACTACGACTACTACTACTACTACTACTACTACAACTACTACTACTACTACCACTACTACTACCATAACTACTACTACTACTACTACTACTACTACTACTACTGCTACTACTACTACTACTACTACTACCACTACTACTTTACCTATTATTACTACTACGACTACTACTACTACTACTACTACTACTGCTACTACTACTACTACTACCACTACCACCACCACCACCACTACTACTACTACTACTATTACTACTACCACTACTACTACTGCTACTACTACAACTACTACTACGACGAGTACTACGGCTACTACTACGATTACTACTACTACTACTACTACTACGACTACTACGACTACTACGACTACTACGACTACTACGACTACTACTACTACTACTACTACTACTACTACTACTACTACTACTACTACTACTAGTACTACTACTACTACTACTACTCCTGCTGCTGCTGCTGCTACTACTACTACTGCTACTACTACCACCACTACTACTACTACTACTACTACTACTACTACTACTACTACTACTACTACTACTACTACTACTACTACTACTACGACTACTACTACTACTACTACTACTACTACGACTACTACTACTACGACTACTACGACTACTACGACTACTACGACGACGACGACGACGACGACTACTACTACTACTACTACGACTACGGCTACGCTTACGACTACAACTACTACTGCTACTATTGTTGCTACTACTACTACTACTACTACTACTACTCGAACTACTACTACTACTACTACCACTATTACTACTACTACTACTACTACTACTACGACTACTACTACTACTACTATTACTACGACTTCGAGTAGGGTTACTACTATTACTACTACTACTACTACTACTACTACTACTACTACTACTACTACTAGTACTACTACTACTACTACTACTACTACTACTACTACTACTACTACTACTACTGGTGCTGCTACTACTACCACCACTACTACTACTACTCCTACTACTACTACGACTACTACGACTACTACTACGACTACTACGACTACTACTACTACTACTTCTACTACTACTACCTCTACTGCTACAACTACGACGTTGAGGAGAAGGAGGAGGACGGTGTTTACCGCTCCTACTAATGTTGCTTTCCTAGAGGCTCCAACTCCTAGGTATGGCCGCATTGGGATAATTTTCCAAACACCAAGAAGAAGAGAACAAACACATTGTCTGGGGACGATGTTTCGCATAGTTTCAGCAATTGTTGATACGTTTGTTTGCTATTTTCACTCGTCCTCCAAAATCCGCCTGTAGGGGGACATGCCCGACCTAAGGGTACGGAGAGAATGGTTACAACGCCCAACAGCGGTTCTAGGCCTCCTGGATGGGGTCGGAGCAGATGGGGGCGGAGGATCCCGCCGCACCGCCGACGCATCGCCGATACGGCTCGATGTGGGGTCCGATGTTCCCCACGCCGACGTCGCGGATGCGTCCCATGCATCGCCGATGCGTCCTTGCGGCAGAAGCAGGATCGGGACGATCGAAATGGGCAGTGTTAGGTCGGGTTTGTCCCTTTACAGGAGGAGTATCCCCAAATTGCCAAAACATTGTCTGGGGACGATTTTTCGGAGTCTTTTCAACAATGTTTGACAATTGTGTTGACTATTCTTATTTTTCCTCCAACATCCGCCGCCTGTAGGGGGACATGCCCGACCTAAGGCTAGTGATTTGTTGTTTTGCCGATCGGCGCGGGTCCTCGCCCTTCCTTCCCCTCCCCCCTCCATGGAGTAGAGCTTGGCTGTTTTTTGGCGCCTGCTTCGAGCGGTTTGGGTCTCCTCCAGAGGCCGCACTCTTTGCAAACAGTCGCAGTAGACAGAGGTCCGGAGCCAGACCCCCCCCTTCCCTCCCCCCTCCCCCCCCCTTGCCGCCCAATGCCAAAACACCGAACAACAAAAATCGCTCACATGGGTGCAACGCCCAACAACAGTCCCTGTCCACTCTCCACACAGGACTCGCTGTCCGCGCCGCCGCGGACGCTGTGCTCTGAAGACGAGAAGCCGCCTGCCCAGCAGCGGCCGCTGTCGGTCTTGGACAACACTTGTTGTCCGGCATCGTACGTGCCCATGTTATCTGGGCGTTGCATAATGGGGGGGTCATAACTGGGGGGGTGGCGAGAGTGGTCCGAAAAGGTACCCAGACGGCACCTATAAACGAGCCCCCTGGAGCTCCGGAGGGGCCCGATGGGGGGCACGACAGGGGACCGTTCCCGACCCCCTCCCCCTTTAGGACACCCCCCCCCCCCTTGAGCTACGCCCGAGTTTTCCCGTGCCCGCCTCGGGCGTCCACGCAGGAGCAGGAGGAGGACGCCGAGGCGCCGCAGGCCCGCGCGGGGGGGGCGGGGGGAGGGCGGGGCCCCGCGCGGCTCCCGCTCGGGCGCGGCTCGCCTCGGCCGCGGTGGTCCTCGGCGAGAGGAGTGCCCCCTGGCTATCGGAGGTGGACAGGCCAAGGGCGCCCTCGAGGGCACGAAGTTCTTCGCGCTTCGCCGTTCGGCTCCGATTCCTCCTCACCCTCCACTTCTCCCTTGGGAGGCGGCGCGAGAGCGCGAAGCTGTGCGCACTCCGCGCTCTCGCGCAGCGCGGAGCGCGAAGTTGGGAGCCCTTGTAGACCTCCTGCCCTGACACGTCGATTGAGGAAGTGGCCGTTTTCGGTTCGCGAGAGGGCGTCGCGGCCGGTATGTTTGCGGGTCGAGGTCCGTCGGTTTCGGTCTCAGGCCGCTTTCACTGAGGGGAGGTTTACTAAAGGGAGGTCTCTCCACCGCTGGTAGCTTCAGTCGGGCACGTCCCTCTATTGGAGGAGTATTTCAGGAGTCGCAAAACATCTCAGGGGACGATTTGTTTCGTGTGTTTGTTTCGCCTTTTTTGTTTACCATGGTTGTTTTGTTTTCCGACATCCGCCTGTAGGAGAACATGCCCGACCTAATCCTAACACGAATAGCACGATGCAGACGTGGCCTCATTCAGGTCCCCGTCTTTGCACCGGGGATCATCTACCTGGGCGGCTTGGTCCGATACATCTGCAGAAGGGGCACGCAATCCCTGACGTGCTTGGCCCTCCTAGCTTCGGTCCCCTCCCAAAGGGTTATTGGCACTTTTTTGCTGCTTCTCAGATCGGTTCCGATGCCGCTCTGATTCTGCGTCGGATGCCCGTGGGTTCCTCGCCGGAGGCCCTGCTGGCCTGCCGGCCTCGACCCATTCGGCTCCTCCCGCTCGGCTGCCGATTCTTCGCCGATCCGATCCGATCGGCGGAGAATTTGCAGTTCTCGATGCGATTCAGCTTCTGTCGATCCGACTCAAAGTTCGGCCCGATTCGGCTTCTCCCGATCCGATTCAAAATTCGATCGCCGAGCCGACGTACCGATTCGATTCTGGGATCTCCTGGCGGGATGAGGATCAGCGGTGGTCTCGAGGGCGCTACGGGACGGCGGGGGGCAGGGCTCGGGGGCTGCGTCGGGAGGGGATCGGCTTGAGGTTGGAGGCTTTCGGGGGTGTTCGTCGGTTCGGGGCGGTCTAGCCGAGCTTGGGCGCGCTGCTTATAGGGCATGCGGTGGACCAAGAAACGCCCTGTTGCCGTGGGGTCGCGGCCCAGGGCCCGCGGCCCGCGAGGCCGAGAGCAGACGTATAGCATCTGTTTCCCGCCAGCGATAACTGGCGATGGGTGGAGTGGCGCTTTGCAGCCGAGCCAGGGGGGAAGCAAAACGCGACCAATCGAGCGGTCAGAAGATCCTCGTCCTCCAGGGACCCCCTGCAAGGCCGAAGCACCCCTGGAGCCTGGAAGGGGCCGCATCGCCCCAGCAGAACAATGTTGAAAACCTCTCCCGCGTTTCCTCCTCGTCTCTCTCCTTACTCCCCTCCTCGTCACTCCTCCTCCTCCTCCTCCTCCCCCTCCTCCTCCTCCTCCTCCTCCGCCTCCCCCTCCTCCTGCTCCTCCAGTTTGTGCCCGAGGCCCCGTCGGTCGGGGCCGCTCGGGCGTGGACGAGCGCCGCGCTTGGGTCGGCGGCGCGTGATGGCAGGCGGCGGCGGCGGCGGCGGAGGCCCCCGCGATCCGAGCTGATGCACGCGGTGATCGGAGGTGGCTCGGAGTTGCCGTGCCTTGGGCGCTGGCGCGGCTGCTGCGGTGCGGCCACCTGGGCGCCCCCTCCCGTGCTGGGCATCATCCTGCACCAGTGGGCCGTGCAGACCCTGGAGACGTCGGTGCCAGTCCTGGGGTTGTCCGCGGCAGAAGGCGCGCGCGCGGCGGGGGCAGCAGCTGTTCGAGCTGATGCGTCGTGGGCCGCCTGCGGAAGAGGTCGAGGCGTTGCGAGTGGCAGAGGCCGTGTCCACCGCGGCGGCGCCTGAGGGAGGCCGCTCTGGTGCGCCGCTCAAGCAGAAGGACGCGGAGGAGAAGGAGTGGAAGGTGGTGTCGGGCCAGGTGGAAGGTCGGCGAGGCGAGCGCTGGGACGCAGCGCAGGCCGTTGCCTACCGCTCGGCCGCGCGCTGGGCCGCTGAGGTGGCCGAGCGGCGCGACGCCGAGCGCCGAGCAGCCGCAGCCAGCGCGCTGCAGCTCGGGGCGCGCGGCTTGCTGGGGCGGCGCGCGGCCGCAGCGGTGCGGGCGGCTCGCAGTGCGGCCGTGGCTGATTGCGCTGGGCCTGCCGCGATGGCCCCGCCGGCCGCGGACGCCCAGCCCGCGAGGCAAGGGAGGCGCGGCAGGAAGGCTAAGGAGGACGCGATGGGCGACGACGCCCTGCTCGACGACGCGATCCTCCCCGCCGCGCGCGAGGCCGACGAGTTGGTACGCGACGCGGCGGACGCCGTCGTGGGCGATGTGCGCGTGGCGATCGTCCCGTTCGTCGTGGCGCTCACGGCGGAGTTCGGCGCGGACGCGGTGAGGTCTGCGCTCTGCAGGCTCGAGGCGGCGGCCCGCGTGGCGTCTGGCGGCCTGGACAGCCACGTGGAGGTCGCTTCGGCCTCGCGGGGCAAGTGGGCGGTGCGGTTCTTGGACGGCGAGTTCGTCGACAACACGGGCGACTGGGTGACAGTCGCCGGGCGGGTCGAGGACGAGCTCGGCAGCGAGTGCGCTGGCTGAGCGTGGGTGTGCGCTCCATGGGCGGCATGGGCACGTCCTACTGTCCGACGAAGGCATCTATACACCACCACCGTGCCAGGCCAGGGCCATCCTGGGCCGTAGGATGGTGTATAGACCCTCCGGGCTCGGCCAGGAGGGCGTATACACCATCCTAGGGCATAGGATGGCCCTGGCCTGGCACGGTGGTGGTGTATATATGTTTTCTGCGTATACTGGAAGGTCGACTTCCTCGCGGTCGGGGGCCTTGCCTTCGGGCGGGCCCCCGTGGCCAGGGATCCCGGCCATGCGGGCCAGGGCCCTTGTCGGTGGGGGCCCTCGGGAGCCCCCTGGCGGGAGCGGGCGCGGCACGACGCGCCCCCACCGACTCGCGGCCATCATCATCCTCCCGCTCCTCCTCTTCCTCCTCCTCCTCCTCCTCCTCTTCCTCCTCCTCCTCCTCTTCCTCCTCCTCCTCCTCCGTCGGTGCCGCCAGCAGGCGAGCAGAGTTCTTGAATCGTGCCCGGCGACGAGAGGATGCATTGTTTCCAAAGCTTCCGACCCCTCCTCCGTCGATTGCGACTCTGTTCTCGGGGGGAGGAGGAGGAGGCAGAATAATAATAAAAATAATAAGAAAAAGAAAACTAATACTAATACGAATAATAATGATAAGAAAAAAAGAATAGCGAGAAGAAAACGAATAATAATAATAAGAAGAACAATACGAGGCGGAGGAGGAGGAGGAGGAGGAGGAGGAGGAGGGGGAGGAGCGAGGA